GTTATAAAACAAGAAGATCACTTTACAGAAGACGTAAAATCCCCAAACAACAATATTATTGGAGAAACAAAGTTAAGTAGAAATAACCTAACACCTGCATTTAATATACATCATAGTGATGATACATTATACAGTTGTGGAAAACCATTTGATAACCTAAAACAACAAAAGAGGATACACTCTGGAGTGAAACCATATCAGTGTACAGTTTGTGGAAAACAGTTTGATAGAAATAGTCACTTAAAAATACATCATAGAAGACACACTGGGGAGAAACCTTACAGTTGTACAGTGTGTGGAAAACAGTTTGGTACAAAAAGTAATTTAAAAATACATCAAAGAATACACACTGGGGAAAAACCGTACAATTGTACAGTATGTGGAAAATACTTTGGTACAAGTAATAGATTAAAATCACATCAAAGAATACACACTGCGGAGAAATCTTACAGTTGTGGAGTTTGTGGAAAACACTTTAGAACAAATGGTGAATTTAAAACACATCAAAGAATTCATACGGGTGAGAAACCTTACTGTTGTACAGTGTGTGGAAAATACTTTCGTACAAATAGTGCCTTAAAAAGACATGAAAGAATACACACTGGGGAGAATCCGTACAGTTGTACAGTATGTGGAAAACAGTTTGGAACAAAGACTGACTTAAAAATACATGAAAGAATACATACTGGAGAGAAACCTTACAGTTGTACAGTGTGTGGAAAAAACTTTGGGACAAACAATTACTTAAAAACACATCAAAGAATACACACTGGGGAGAAACCTTACAGTTGTACAGTGTGTGGAAAACAGTTTCGTACAAATATTGCCTTAAAAACACATCAAAGTATACACACTGGGGAGAAATCTTACAGTTGTGTAACTTGTGGAAAACACTTTAGAACAAATGGTGAATTAAAAGTGCATCAAAGAACTCATACTGGTGAGAAACCTTATAGGTGTATAGTGTGTGCTAAACAATTCATATCAAGCTGTAACTTAAAAAAACATCATAGAATACACACTGGGGAGAAACCTCACAGTTGTGCAGTTTGTGAAAAACAGTTTGTAACAAACAGTGAATTAAAAATACATCAAAGAAGACACACTGGGGAGAAACCTTACCATTGTGCAGATTGTGGAAAACAGTTTGGAACAAAGACTGACTTAAAAAGACATCAAAGAAGACACACTGGGGAGAAACCTTACAGTTGTACAGTGTGTGGAAAAAACTTTTGTAAAAATAGTACCTTAAAAATACATCAAAGCAGACACACTGGAGAGAAACTTTTCAGTTGTGGAAAAGAATTTGGAGCAAACAGTGAATTAAAAATACATCAAATAACACACACTAGAGAGAAACCTTACAGTTGCATGTTGTGTACAGAACAGTTTGTATCAGTCTATAATTTACAAAAACATCAAATAGCACACACGCTCGGGTCAATTAAGTGAAACAAATTTGTAAAAAAAAGTAGTTAATTTAAATTTAGTTAATTTAAAAAAAAAATAAAGATTGCATGTGGGGTAGAAACTTTACAGTTTGTGGAAAACAATTTGTATGTAACTATAGCTTAAAAATGCCTCAGAGAATACACAGCTGGGAGAAACCTTACATTTATGTAAGCTCTCGTTTTGATACCAGTTGTTGGCACAGCACAGGTAGCCTATTGTTTAGCTTTGTAACATACTGTTTAACATTAAAAGTTGTTTTAATCACAAAATTTAACTATACCCTGAAATATTAAAAACTGATTAAAATATTTAGCAAGCTTTCCCTTAATCTCCTTCAAATTAACAGCATCCACCACATTTGAAGGTAACATTTTCCGAAGTCCAACCACCTTTTAGTTGAAGATTACTCTGATGAAATTTATATTCGTGTTTCCTAGTCTTATCATTAAATAGAAAGAAAAGATGATACATCAACCCTATCAATTGCTTTAACAATCTTATACATTTTATAGTTTGTGGAAAACAACTGAAAACAAACAATTAATTGAAAAGACATCAAAGAAAACATGCTGGCGAGAAACCTTACAATTATTCAGTTTGTGGAAAATAACTGGGACCAAACAATTAATTGAAAACACACAAAAGAAAACATACTGGTGAGAAACCTTACAATGTTCAGTTTGTGGAAGAGAACAATATCTTTATTGTTAAGTTTATATTAATTTTTTCATTATCTTCCAAAATCATTCCTTAAGCTTTGTTATTTTCTTCAAAATTTTCTGAGAAAGCATCCAATTTTAGATTGTGCACACCTCCCACTGTTCTTTGGGCTCTATGTGGTATTCATGGTGTATGCTGCTGGCATTGGATGCAGGAAGTCTACGGTAAGTTGGGTATCCGAATGTCTTGACATTTATACAGGGTAGTCCTGTGATCCAATTTTAGATTGTGCACACCTCCCACTGTTCTTTGGGCTCTATGTGGTATTCATGGTGTATGCTGCTGGTATTGGATGCAGGAAGTCTACGGTAAGTTGGGTATCCGAATGTCTTGACATTTATACAGGGTAGTCCTGTGATCCGGGTGGCAAGGGTGGATATTTTGTGTCCCAGTCAATGTTGTGCAGACAGGAGATGCACCGATGTACGTACTTACTGTTGTCTTTATTCAATAAACTTTTTGGGAAAGGTGCTCAGAAGCTTTAATTATGAATCCATTCCTTATAGCAGTTTTTCACAACTAACAACTTAATCATGTATATGTCTGCTACCTTGAAACCTTTAATTTCCACCATCGCTGATCTTTCTTTGGGAAGTCTGCAAGTTGTAACACATACAGTTTACTCAATTATCTAATGTTAATGCCAACTGAACCTTGTCATAACACTATCGGTTTAAATTTCCTTTGTCACTGCCCTAAATGTTTGTGTTTGATGCTGAGTTGTTTGATGTTGGTTTGCAAACACAACTAGTTAATGACAATTCACAGTTCATGAGTTTGATCTTCATCTTTATTTTGAATACTGCTTTTCTGCTCGTGTAGATTGTTCTTGTCATTTATTCTTACCAGTACTTAAGCTAACCCTGTTAATTTTATAATTCTCTAATTATTCTTTTATAATTTACTAATCTCTAAGATTCCTATTGGTTTATGCAATTTTGGCATGAAGCTACATAATCTGTCTATATCATAATTTAAATTTGAAGACTCTCAGTCATTCAGTTTGCTTACATCCATAGCCTCAGAGTATGACATTTTTCTGATTTCTTTTTTCTGTCTGGAACTTATGAATCCATTTAACTTGAGCGTCTTGATAAATGCTAGTTTATTTAAAGCTCTATGTAACAGTATGCTTACTGTTATATAGCAGTGTTATTAACAAGGTATTTTACAGCTTCCATTTATATACTTTGTGATTCCCTGTTGTAGCTCTTAAGTTCTGTACTTGCTGTTGAAGTTCTTTAATAGTTAACCCTGAACATTTAGGGGGCTAATATGGAGTTTGTTCTAGAATACCCCTCAGTGCTTTAATTTCTGAAACTGCTTCTACTCCTCTGAATAATTGTAATTCTTCTGTTAATTGTTTTTGCCACTCAGGTAATTTTAGATTTACTTGTGCCATTGTGTACTTAATTTTACTTTTGAAAATGGAAGGTAAGAGTATCCCTTGTCCATGTGCTGAGCACTTTCTGTCTAATTTTAGATATCCCCTTTATCTTGACAGGATCGATTTAGTCCGATAATCAAATTGGGGTACATCAGATTTCAGGTAAACTACTGATAAGGTCAGTTCATTTCTCAGGTTAAACAACCATGTCCATCTGGTTCTCGTATTAAAGAATTAAATGGTTTAGGGATACTTACTCTTTTCTCTCACGATTCGATATTTTACTTTTTATATCTGCAAAAATTGCTTAGTTATAAATTAGAATGGGAACTGAATAAATTCCAGAAACAGGGTATCAAACTCTAATGGGTTCCTCTATACACATTAATATATCCTCTTCTGTTAGTTCTAGGTAAGTGTGTTGATTGTTAGAAACAGCTGTGTAGGTTTTTTTGCTCTCAATGGATAAAGCCAATGAAGTATTTAATGCTACAGGGAAGGATATTACTCGTTATAGTTTAAATATTCTATTTGTTAGTTTTAAGGATATCTTTATAAACATGTGTAATGTGTTATACCACAGCTGTATTCAATTTGGTCCATGTAAAGTACACATAGATCTGGTAGGTTCATGTGAGGATAACAAACTGTAAGTGCGGAGATAATCTCCTTTCAGTTTCATCAAATACTTTTTTGAGTTCAATCCAGGGTAAAAAGTAAGAACTCAGCTTTCTATTTTCTAAACTCATCAATTTTAGGAAGAACAATGTTTTTATATTAAACAAAAATTCATGAGTATAATTATTAACATTATTTATTAAATAAGTTTTCAATTGTCCTTTGTAAGCTGTTTCTATTTCTTAAATAACTTCATTTTCATATAATACTTTTTTACTTTCATTATGATATTGTTGCATATCTGCTTGTTTGTTAATTTCCTGTATAAATTCTTGCCGAGAAACTTCAGCAATACAAGTTCTTCTGGTTAACCCAATTTATTCTTCCACGATACAAACTTTGTAATACGCAGAATTTACACAGTTAATACGTTTTCTCGTCGCTTTACTTAACAACCTTTATAACACATGCTATAAATCACAGTGATTCACACACTTTACTTACGGTGCCTACTGTTCGTTTGACTCAATTTTCTATCTCTCCAATCCTGCTGGTTTTCTCGCCAGGCTTATATATTAAAAAAGAGGGCATCTCGATTGGACTAGAGTTGCCGGGCAAATTCATGATCCTTCGAGAAACTCCAGTGCACATGCTCCCAGTGTCACATGACTTCCGCTGTCGTAACACTGTCCCTTCCTTAGTATCGTTTGTCCCAAACAATAGCCATTTACATTTAACCAATAGATAATTAACAATAACTTAATTAAATGTACAGAATTTACAAACACAAATTTAAAACACAACAAAGTCTCAATTTTACAGGACGTATCTTATTCTGTACTGGTCTCCATCTCATTGGCTTATGCTTCACGTGGGGTTTATCTGCTCCATCAGGAAATGTCTTATTATTTGTAGCAGTCACATCAGTGGTAGTAACTTCATCAAGGGCTTCACTGTTTCCCTTCTCAAAACCGGGTAGAATTTCTTCTTCGACAGTGGCTTTTTCAGGTGACACATCTTCAGCAGCGTCATTTGTTTAGTTGTTCCTGGAACAGTGAAGCCGTTACTGACGTGACTGCTACCGATAATGGGACATTTCCTGATGGAGCAGATAAACCCTACGTGAAGCAAAAGCCAATGAGACAGATACCAGTACGGAAGAAGATACATCCTGTAAAATTAAGAGACTTTGTTGAATTTTGTGTTTGTAAATGCTGTACGTAATCAAGTTATTGTTAGTTATCTATTGGTTTAATGTAAGTGGCTATTGTTCGGGACATACAATACTAAGGAAGGGACAGTGTTATGACAGCAGAAGTGAAGCGACACTGAGAGCATGCACGCTGGAGTTTCTCGAAGGATCATGAATTATCGAGGAACCCCACGAATGTCCGAGTGTTTACCAGGCGCCCTCTTTTTTAGTATATAAGCCTGGCAAAAAAGCCAGCGATATAGATATGCAGATAGATCGAGGAGATACATCGGAGATGCAGATAATTGAGTCAACCGAACAGTAGGCTAGGCACCGTAAGTAAAGTGTGTGAATCACTGTGATTTATAGCGTATGTTATAAAAGTAGTTAAGTTTAACATATCTATTGGAAATTCTGTGTATTACAAAGTTGTATCGAGGAAAAATAAACTAGTTTTAATTAAGAAAGGAGTTGTATCGCTGAAGT